CTTATAAACTGTCAAGAAATGGAGCGCTAAGGTACACTCTGCTGTGGAGCATTTGATAGATAAAATCAAACAAAAGGAAAGAGAAATGGAAAGGCAAAGAGATTCATACGTTTAAAAAATGCTAGTAAGAGAGACTAAACAAAAGAAGAAGTGTAACAATGAGGATAAAAAGTGATCTTACCACAGGTCACTTTGTTGGGTGTTGGCTGAGGCTGGATTTCAGGCTTGCCCCTAGATTTTCTGCTCCAGTGGTGACCTCTACCTCGCTTCCGTTGGACAGGGCTGGTTGTTGTCACGGAAGAGCCAGTCCCTAACAAAGCAAACATACATTAATAAAAAACAACCAGGGATGAGCAATATTTGGCAGTGTTTTTGAATATTTACCATTTACTCATTAAGACTTTACCAAAAGTATATAAAATTAAGCAACAAGGTGAATTATTTTAATATGCTTTATGCTTAATGTCCTACAAACTGGGCCATTTGACTACGCTTGCTACTAGTTTAATCAAGACTACAACGTAAGCAGTAAAAACGGCAACTTAAATTCAATTTATTTCTGTTAATCAGTTCAAACTGTTTGTGTCATTGCTAAAATAAAAGTCCCCACATGACATTTTTCATATATTTATGATTTATTGAAAATATACAGTGCTACTATGCATTGTTACACTGCAGCATATAAACTAACATGATTAAATATAAAAAAAATATATCCTTTAAATGGTTTTTTTGTGAAAAATTGTGGAAAATATTCCTTAATTATTTTTAACTAATTATATGATATTATATCATATTATACTTAAACTTAAAATATTATTAAACTGGGTGCAGCCATCGGTGCAGTTCACTTGAACTTCCAAGGCTTCCGGTGTCTTCCGCTACTAGTTATATTAGATGTACAAAAACAGTCCTTTATGATGTCTGATACTAGTATTTACTTTAGCATATAAATAGTGTAGTGCAATAGTAATTCTATTTACTCATATCTGCCAATGAGCCAGAAGTTCTGCACATTCACAGAAAACAGCTTACACCTTGAAAAATAACTAAGGTGATGGTATTATATAATATTATAATATATTTCCAAAAAGGATGAAAAATATAGAGACACAATTTTTAACAAACAAAACAAAAAAAAAATTTGATGTGCTGAGATTTTAGCGGCAATCTTTTCTCACCTGCTCTCCACTGGTGGTCTTGTGTGTTTTCCAATGATGGTACATCTGTGTTTGAGCTGAATTGTGTGTCCCCTCTGGTATCCCCCACTTGGTATTCTACCATCTCTCGCACTGGAGACACTAACAGTACAGGTGACACATTAGTATGTGACCATAAACATAACTGGTTTTGATTACTGTTCACTGTTTTTTTGACACCTGATACCCACCTGTTCTTCTTTTCTTTTGTGAGACAAACGGCAGGACATCATGTCGTGTCAGAATTCGCAGCAACTGCAATAAAGGTTTGAGGTTTGCTTCGCTCAAGTATCCTCGCCTCTCCAACTCCAACAGCAGTTCAACGCCACTCTTGGGTCTGTGGCAACCGGCGATTGGGCACAGCTCATTCTGTGGCTGTATTCTTCGCCATGTTTTCAGAAGCCAAGGACATGGAGAATTACCCTGTGAAGACCCATCAGGACCTGGAGGCAACTCATCTGTCCATCCCTCTGGATCGAGGGGATGTTTTCCAGGATAAGCTTCATCGAGGAGAAAGGACAAAACCTCGACATCAGTCTCTGTGAGTTGGGAGCCCACGATTTCACAGATCTCATGGAGGGACAGCATCTCATAGTAGCTCAGGCACTCAGTCTCCTCCCAGTACAGGGAATATCTCGAGCATTTTGCTGAAGCCATGGTCCCTCCAAATGGGTCTGGTAAAGAAGAACACGCATATATATTACATGCGAGTTATTATATTATATAAACACTGAATAAAACAGACAAACTTGGCTGTCAAAAATACTAAGTACACAGTACATTCTCTGTACGTTAGCCTACAAGCTAACTATCAGGATCGACTGTGGGTTAAAATATACTTATATAAAACATTCAAATTCAGTTTTTGTGTCTCCAAGTGGTACAAAAACAACATAAAAAGATATTTACACGGTCGTAGTGGAAACAGCGCAGTTATTTTGATCCGAAAAGCGTTTCTGTGGTGACCCGCCCTCAGTCAGTCCCTCCGTCAGCTGTTCCGTCAAACGTTCCTCTCGCGCAGGGTCACGTGGACTCTTTATGTAACGTCACGTTTGAGCTGAGGGAACAGAGCCAAGGTGATAAAAGAAAAAGAATCAATGACATGCATTTATGTTTAATTGTAATACATCGTTCAATTATGTGAACAACAGATGTGGTTGAAGGTTGAGACTACGTCCAAATGTTCATGTTTGCGGCGTCAGCTGACATTCCTGTAGCGGACTTCCGCCTCTAGTAGTTACCTCTAGATTAGCAGATTTTTCTATGAGCTAACCTGACATCAATACTGCACCAAAACCTCTCGATGAAATAATGATAATTAAAAAAAAACTACAAGAACCATGTTACATACTACACACAGCACAAGAGTCCACTTGTTATCAACATTTTTGTTATTAGCGCCCGGACAATGAATTGTGTTCTTTTAAAACAACAAGGTTTGATTTGATTTGTTTTGTTTTGATATGTTGCTGTATAAATAAAACACTCATATCTTACGTCAATAACTGAGGTTCAACAAGCATCTTACCTGTATCAAACTGTTTATCTGGATTGTGTTTACACTCTTGTTCTTTCTAACCCCTCCTAACACCACCCACAAGTTAACTCAACTGGAAAAACACCGTTCGAGCGTTAGCCAGCACTGTTGACGGAGCCCCGAACAATCGCAGACCGTTATCTGTGTATTTGGAGGAAATTCACTCGCATATGATTTGTAGATCGAGGCTCCATGTCTACAAAGCAGTCACATGTCACGGGTATGAGATATCGTCCGCAAAATTTCGCCATACTGGGAACGGAAATTAGACAAGCAAAAGAGAGTAGAAATATTTATTTATTTATTTACTAACTTACTTACTAACTTACTTATAAGTATACTTACTTACCGTAGGCTGATAACAAGTTACTTTATAAGAACTACCGTTGTCCAGTTTCTCAAGCATCCTTGTGGTAGTTGTAGCCAGTCCTTGAAACATGCACTTTAGTAATTAGTAAAATGAGGTATGGTAGTGTGTAATTTATGTTGTAGAACAAACCGTCCTCTTCTATCCACAGACCTTAATTGACTTGTAAAATTAAAAAAACAAAACAAAAAAAACAACAACTCTATTTTAGGTCCATTATATGCTGGGGCTTCCTTCCTAGCTGGCCTACAAATGAACGTCATGACTTTTAGATAAAATAATAATTTATTATAATTCGTAATCGTAGAATATAATTCATCATAATAAAAATGCGTGTGAGACTTTGATTAATATCTGTTTGCCTGTCCTGTTGGTTTGGTCCATGTCACTAGGAGGCGGTCGTTAGTTCGTCTACAGAAGAAGATCGTCACAGCTCCTGCTGGCTAACCACATCATATGTTCATTTTTGGGTGAACTAACCCTTTAAGAACAGTTATTTGCTCAGACTCTTATTCTGTCTTAAGTTTATTAAGTGGCAAGTCTACATCTAGACAAGACATATTATATGATATAATAATATAAAGCATGTTCAAAATTCACCAATATAGATTAAGTATTTAGTCCAGTAGGTGGCGGAAATGCACCTTTTAAGTGGGTTTGCCAACCACCATTAAAAAGAAAAGAAGAAGAAGAAGAAGAACCACAGAACAAAGATTAAGAGAAAATCCAGATGTTTTAATTCAAAATGTTTCCTCGGAAAGTCCAATGGATGCCATATTCACATTGAACGAACTAAAACAGGCACTGAAAGGGGTAAGACATACTTCTCCAGGGAAAGATGAAGTGTGTTATGATATGATCAAGCATCTATCAGAAAAAGCATTAAATATAATATTAAAACTTTACAATGAAGTATGGAAATCAGGGAAACTCCCGTATTCGTGGAAACAAGGCATTATAGTACCTATTGCAAAACCTGGGAAAGACCAATCTATTCCGATGAACTATAGACCTATTGCTTTAACATCAAACATGTGCAAAGTAATGGAAAGAATGGTTATGTCACGAGTATTATTTTATTTGGAAACCAAAAATTTGTTACATCCATATCAGAGTGGATTCAGAAAGGGACGTAGTACACTAGATGCAGTTGTATGCTTGGAGAATGAAATAAGGAAAGCTCTAGTGAAAAAAGAAGCGGTAATAGGAGTTTTTTTTTTTGACATTGAGAAGGCGTATGACATGGTGTGGAAGGAAGGGCTGTTAATTAAATTAGATCGAATGGGCATCAAGGGGAGGTTATATAACTGGATTATGGATTTCTTGCAAGAACGAACAATACAAGTGAGAGTAGGTACTGAATACTCTGATATTTATCAAATAGACAATGGAACCCCTCAAGGAAGTGTTTGTAGCCCCATACTTTTTAATATAATGATAAATGATATTTTTGGGGAAATTGAATTAGGAATAGGAAAAGCACTATATGCAGATGACGGAGCTTTGTGGAAAAAAGGGAAGAACCTGCAGTATGTAGGGCAAAAAATGCAGGAGGCTATAGATGTTGTTGAAAATTGGGCTAATCAATGGGGTTTTCGTCTTTCAGTTGAAAAAACCCAGGTAATATGTTTTTCAAAGAAGAAGAAAACTCCTGAAGTTAAATTAAAGTTGTATAAACAAACATTAGAGCAAGTATCACTAATAAGGTATCTGGGAGTATGGATGGATTCCAAATTAACATTTGGGTCACATATTCAGAAGTTAGTTGATAAATGTAAGAAAGGAGTCAATGTGCTGAGGTGCTTGGCAGGAGTAGTTTGGGGAGCTACTAGACGTTCTCTTAAAAGGGTATGACCAAAAGCTGGTTTGCCAACCGCCATTAAACATCATAAGAAGAAGAACCACATCATATCCGCCGCACGGCAACACATTGAACACAGCTACAGAAAGTACTGTGAGTAAGATCTTTGTTTTAGGGTTTATTTTCCTCTCAGTGCACCGTTTTTGCAATATCTAAATTTACAGTCGCTCCTCAAAGTTAATTTATATAAGATTTTCATAGTTGTTGGGGAATCAACATGATTGAAGAAAGAGCGAATAGTTTCCGTAACAGATTTGATAAACAAACTTTGGGGTGTGTTTTTATACCAACCCGTTAAAAAGATCGCGTTGTTAGATGGTCTTATTTCATAACTTAATATGTTTTGGACACATCTGACGTAATGCAGCAGCTTAACAAACTTGTTCTTCCGGATTCTTTGTCGTTGTGGTTTCTGCACCAACCCATATGAGTGACATCGATTTTCCATTAGCGCACATAATGTAATTGAAGACATTTATAACTTGCTGCACAGTAGATGGAAAGTCTTCTAAACGAAGTAGCTAGAATAATGAAAGCTATTATGTTTATTTAAATAGTTTATTATTGTTTCATAAAAAATGAAAGAGAAAAGTGTATGCAGTGGTCTACTGGGGAGTTAATAAAGCCTTTGTTCACTCTGTTCTCAAGAGACCTTCTTATACCAACGTTTTCCACTTTTAAGGTTTCCCATACCTCTTAACCTCTTCTCCTTTGTGTACTATGATAATGTAGCAGTGTAATGACTACAGTAATGCAAATACGCTGAAAATATTTTGAATGAGCAAAATGATGGACATTTCATTAGAAAAGGGTCCCATTTTCCTCATTCGACACCCAGAGTGTCCTCTACATTAACTCATAGCAGTGCCATAGTACAATAGTCTGAACTGAGTTGGAAATTAACTAGATGTTTTAATAGTTACAGTACTTATAGTTTCCTTTTAATTCAATTCTTATATTATTAGACACACTGAAATGGATGGAAAAGCAAGTGACCCTTTCAGCAGTGAGGCAGAACAGCTTCCTGGGGCTGGAGTAGTGGGGAGGTGAGTAAAGTGTGTATTCTTTCATTTTAAGTCATATCAATCTACAGTCAGTAACTTCCTTTCATTTCTATTGTTTGCCATTATAATGAATTACACATAATTAAAAATCATGTCATATATGATGTGTGTTGTTATTACCCTTAATTGTGTTATTATGGTGCACATATGTTTTAAAATGAATGAAATGTATAAACATTATTATTACTCTGGTAATTCTATTTTCCTGTCTGTTGTGGATGTCAGGCTGTGGCTGCCCAAAGGTCTGTCTGGTAATGTGATTAAGGATTGGGTTGACCGCAGGAGGAAGTCCATCCGTCCGTGGGCCAGTTTTGTGGACCAGCGCAAGTTCTCCAAACCACGCAATTTTGGAGAGCTGTGCCAGCGTGTGCTGAGGAACATGAACACCTATCACAGCAACTACACCTTCATCTTCCTGGGACTCATCCTCTACTGCATGTAAGGAACTGCTTGCTAATAATCATCTAGAATGTATGTTACAAATGAGGTATTAATCAAAAATATGTAGCTTCTTCAAATTAAATAAAAGGCTCACTGTAATAGAAATAAAAATGTTTGATAAGCCTCTGTTCTTATGTACACAACATGGCTGTGTGTGTTTAAGTTTCTCTGAAGGTCCTCATTCATGCAACCATCTGGAAGGCGTTCAACAGAATAAACATTCACAGGAGGTTCAAATAAAACTTTCTCTCTCCTTTTCTCCTCCAGCATCAGTTCCCCAATGCTCTTGATTGCTTTGGGAGTGTTTGCTGGTGCCTTCTATATAATTCACTTGAAAACGCTGGAAAAGAAGCTGGTTGTTTTCGGTAAGAGAGTGAGGTGTTGTTTTAGTGGTTATATGTGAGGCTGTATGAGCTGCGTCATTGGATTTGTTTGCTTAAAATGCTAGTTTGAAGTTTAAGGGCTGGATATTTGATGTGATGTAAGTGATCTGATGAGCAAACGCACTCCTCTGTTTCTCTCAGGTCGTGAGTTGACTCAGGGACACCAGTTAGGTTTAGCAGGAGGGGTTTCCTTCCCTGTGTTCTGGCTCGCAGGTGCAGGAGCTGCTGTGTTCTGGTTACTAGGTGAGTTTTTCATCCTCATCTCATTGTACTTGTTTTTCCAGGAAAGGTTCCCCTGAAACTGATTTTTTTAATTTTTATTTATTCAGGTGCTACACTAGCTGTTATCGGGTCTCATGCGGCATTTCGTGAGCTGGAGTCGTCTGACATAGATGAGCTGCTCATGGAACCTGTTTAAGCCTCTCACCTTTGACCTTTTGGCTCATGTTAACCGACAAAGTCTTGCCTCATCTTTTAGATTGCCACATATTGGTTGCACTAATTTAAAAATATCAGTTTACTCACAGTTTGGCCAGAAATGCGGACTGTTAAACTGACATTGCCCTCAACAGATCAAGCACATTGAAAGACCTCAATTGCCTTTACTGGTACCTATTGGATATCATGTTCATTTGTTACATTATTTATTTCTACAGCATCCTTAAAGCACAAACTAAACCCACATGCAAAAAAAATCCAGTTTATTCAATTAATACTATCTTTAAAGGCATAGTTGACCCAAAACTGAAAACTGCTGTTCTGTGGAATACAAAAGAAGATATTTTGAAAAACAGATTCTTCATTTATGTTTCCAGGAGATGGTTTATACAGGTTTGGAATGACATGAGGGTGAGTAAATCACAGGATGAGCTATCCTTTTAAAGGTTTTCAGATCCTCTCGCACTAAAGGACAAATACAAGGAATAGTTTTTGATCAAAATGTTATGCTAGATCATCCAAAATAGCGAGGAAAAACATTCAGACAACAAGAATGTACTGTCTTGGCAGTTTGTGTGATTTATAGGGTACCGATCATTACATAATCATTTGTCTTAAGCTATATTTAGGTCATATGTTGTTACGTCAGTCTTGTATGATTTAATAACAGCATGCGTGAGCAAAGAAAAAAATGTATTATTGCTATTCAGTGTAATCAGTTTCTGATGCCAATATTCCCAGTGGAAGTTTTTTTGTTTTTATATGTTCTCTCATATTATGGAAATGTTTGTTTATCGTCTTTTATTTTACAACTGGCTTCTGTTTTATCAGTGATTGGGAAGTGCAATAAAATGCTCAGCCTGTACAGTATTTGAGGTCTTATGTTTATTTAACGACTGCTCATAGAACAATAACTAGATTTATTGCCTATTTTCATATTTTTTTTTTATCATTGTCACATCACACAAATTTGACTTATGTGACCTGCTTTTATGACATCAGGCCAGTGACAGTCCATCTCATTTTTAAGTTGCCATAGTGATGACCTTGAGTGGGATCCTACCTCTCCTTTTAAACACTGCGGCAAGAGCAGCCGATCGATATTCCATTACAGCAGTGCAGTAAGGATGGAGGGAGGGAGCGAGAAAGAGGAGCACTGCAGTGAGCCCATAGCATTCTCCCAAGGGACATTAGGTGTGTGTGTGTGTGTGTGTGTGTGTGTGTGTGTGTGTTAGGCAGCCCAGTTTTGCAAGTCGGTAGTTTGCACTGACATCAATGTATGATGAATGCTGTGGTCAGCATATTACAGTCACTGCTGTGGCCTAAAAAGACAGTCTTGTTTGCCATTGTTTAGAGAAGGAGATAAAATAGTGGTTATTGTTTAGTGGGTATTGTGTGTTCTGTTGAAACCGATCATTTTCATGTTTGGGATGCTGGAGACCCCAATGATATATGAGTAAAATAATACATTTTAAATTAACCTTTATTTTATATACAGTAAATCATGTTATATAAATTTGAACTGTACTCTGATTTACTGATTTCTCAATACAGAGTAAGCAGATATTATTCAAGCTTTTCAAGATGTATCACAAAGCACAACTGGATGATTTTATATGGAAAAAAATAGAATATATATATATATATATGTACAATAACAAACAGGAATACACTATATGAAATGTTTTATACTTCAATACATTTACATTTAGTAATTTTGCAGACGCTTTTATCCAAAGCGACTTACAATTGGGGAATACATAAAGCGATTCTTCTTAAAGAGGCAGACAGACACAGGAAGTGCTTGTAAAACCAAGTTGTAGGCATTGTTCAAATAAGTACAAGCTAGAAAGGGAAGGAATAAATAAAGAGAAAGGTTTTTTTTTTTTTTTGATGATGATGAAGTCAAGTAGTGTCGAAAGAGATGAGTTTTCAGCTGTCGCTTGAAAATTGTCAGGGATTCAGCATTCCGGATAGGGGTGGGAAGATCATTCCACCAGCAAGGAATGGTGAATGAGCAGTCTTTGCAATGTGGTCTTTGATGGTCAGCTGGTCATCAAAGATTACACCAAGATTTCTGACCGAAGTCGATAGGGTAATTGTAGAAGAACCTAGCTGAAGGGTGACATCATGCTGTAGAGTTGGAGTGGCAGGGAAGACGAGAAGCTCAGTCTTTGCCAGGTTGAGCTGTTGGTGATATTCTTTCATCCATGCCGAGATGTCCGCAAGGCAGCCTGAGATCCGTGCAGCTACTGTTGGATCATCTGGTTGAAATGAGAGATAGAGCTGTGTGTCATCAGCATAGCAATGGTAGGAGAAGCCATGTGCATGTATGATGGGACCCAGTGATGTTGTGTATATGGAGAAGAGGAGGGGTCCAAGAACTGATCCCTGAGGAACCCCAGTGACAAGTTGATGTGCTTTGGAGC